ACTAGTAATAGTAGCACAAATGTAATTAGAAACTGTATATACAATTGTTCTGTAAGGCGTTTATCATGACTAATAAAAAGTTTCTACGTTGGCAATATAAAAAAAAAAAATTGTTATACTAATATTGAAAAAGCGCATAATAGACTTTACAAACGTTTCATTCACTTCAGGTAATTGAACTTCGTATTATATTTCATTCCACTCTTCTGTGGTAAATAGTTCCTCTGCCTCTTGATTATCAAGATCAAGAATTCATGAATATAAGAGCGATTCATTTGTCAGTTCTTTGCAGTGTTCGAAAATAGTATTTTCAATGCACTTTCCAGATGTAAGAAACCATTTATGAGCTTTACTCATATTTGTGAAATATTTATGAAAATCTTTGAGTTGTGATGATATTAATGGTGATAAAGGGTTCTTATTTTTAATATCGCTTATATTGCAAGAAAAATAATACTGTAAGCATAGGAACAAATTTTAATAAATTTCAATAAAAAAACAAGTACCTCGGTATGTAATCTGAGTCATCACTGCTATAGATAGTATCTTGCAATTTAGAAAAGAGCCATGTCAATTAATTCTTAGCAATAATCAAATAATTTATTAAAGTGCAAATACTACCTTATCATTGCTTGTTTTATTTTGTTCTTATATTTCCGGTAATTGTTCTTTCTGAATGGTTGTTAAATAAATTTAAATACAAGTAAAACAACGATTTGACTAATTAGTAGGATGAAATTAAGATATTACTTTTTCTGTTTGCTGTGAAAATGTGTTCTCGAATTTCCACTTGAGAAAATTCAAAATTACTTTTTTTTTTCAGTACGTGCAACTTCCAAAATTTCTATGGCTTCAATCTTTGTATTGTTGCAAGCTAGATCCTAGAGTTTTCAATAAAATGTTAGAACATATAACCGTTATATATTACATGTAAGGATAATACACACCATCTTGTTTTTCACCTCCCATTTTCTATGTAAGCACTCTTTCTCTTTTTCAATATTGTCACAGAAGAAGTCTGTATTTTGTAGGTCCTAAAAATGTAATATGTAGATCGAACTAATAACTAGGAACCGGAAACTGGTATGTGTCCGGAGCATAAACTCTTTATAATTTGAAAACTAAAAAACTAGTATAAATTTTAATAATTAAAATTTAA